ATATATAAAACGTCTTTTCAACGCCTACAGGTGAAAATAATAGTGATTTTTCCTACCCTCATTACCATCTAAATTTCACCACGCGGTTACGATTGTCAGTTAATATTTTATTTTTCATTTTTTTTCTACGAATCAGAATGATGTGAAATTTGGAGGGTATGTACATCTTATTTAGATTCATCTAAAAAAAATATTAAAATAATTATCCGTGAAAAATAAATTGATCTAAATACCCACGAAAATTTTTAGGGGTATTTTGGTCAATATTTTTTATATAAAATATTTTTTTTATATTTTTTGAAGATTCCCCTATTTTTGATGAATATACACTCTAAATTTCAAGTCATTCCAATTTGTAAAAAAAAAAGTGAAAAATAAAACACTACAAGACAATCGTGACCGCGCGATAAACTTCGGACAGTGATGAGGGTAGGGGAAATCACTGTTCATTTTCGCCTATAGGCGTTGCATAGTATTGGCGAAATCACTATTCATTTTTGCCTATAGACATTGCGTAGTGTTTTCCATATATATATATATATAGGGAAAAGATCTAGTCAGTCAGCCAACGGCCCAAATTAAATTTAGGCCTAATTTAATGGTCACGACCTCATTTCGTATTTGAATTTTTTATTTTTATTTTTTTTTTACAAATCCAAATCGCTTAATTTTGAGCGTCTATTATCAAAAAAAATAATAATCTAATAAAAATATTTAAAAAATAATTAAAAATAATTAAAAAAATATAAATTGACTAAAATACCTTTTAAAGTTGTGACCGTCAGATTAGCCCAGATTCAATCTGGACCATTGGCTGATACTGTAACAATTAGCCTGTGGGATCTAAACAATCAAATTAGAACTCATCACAAAAATTTCATTAGAAGACGTTGTTTTGCTTCTCAAATATCCTCAAATTGATCATCTCGACATCAAGATGCATGACATGAGAGAAAAAAAATATGGATTTCAAGTTTTGAAAATAGTGGATCTTGTGATGCATTTTGGACCGTCAATATTTAGGATTTTCAAGTTTCCATAGATCTGCTTGATCTACACATTTTTTAAGCTTTAAATTTTATAATTAAAGATTAAAATATATTTTAAGGCTATCACAAAGATTTCTAGTGTTAAAACCACATTTTTCAACACTATTTGAAGGTGTGTTTTACTTTGATTGTTTAGAGCATCGGCTCTATACGAACCGCATGTGAATGCTCACCGTGATGCAATGGAGTATGAAGATGGCACACTGACCCCGGAGTCTCTAGCATGATTCACAAATCTTT